AACTAGGCTCAATAATTGAAAACACCAACACAGAAGACTCAACTAGCAACAAACATCTCAGTAAATAGCCAATGGTTTTAATAACACCATTGTGAGATTCAACATTTTTTTGTCTTTTTTTGGGTCACATCCAGCAATGCTCAGGGGTTAAGTCCTGGCTCCGCACTCAGCAATTACTCCTGGAGGTGCTTGGTGGATCATATGGGATGCCGGGGATCAAACCCAGTTTGGCTGCATGCAAGGCAAACACCTTACCCGCTGTGCTATCACTCCGGCCCCAGATTCAACAATTTTTACAAATATTTTACTGAAAAAATTTTTTGATAATTCCATTTATCATTTTGTTGCAATAAAAACAAGCAATATAAAATAAATGACTCTGTGCCTGCTAACGGGGCAGGCTTGGAGGTGTGGATGGGAAATGGGGGACAATGGTGGAGGGAAGTTCTCATTGGTGGTGTGACTGGTGCTGGAAAATTGAATGTCCAAAACAACTACTGTATTGTTTGCTCCATGGCTTGTAGGCCAGCCACATACACTAAGGGAAAAGGCAGCTCAGATAGAGAAGGGAGCACCAAATAAAGGGTGTTGGGAGGATCCTCCCAGGATGGGCGAAGCATGCTGAAAGTAGACTATAGACCAAACATGATTGCCTCTCAATGCCTCTTTTGCAGACCACAGCACCCAAAAGGAGAGAACAAAAGGGAATGCCCTGCCACAGAGACAGGGTGGGATGGGGGGATGGGGGGTGGGAGGGATACTGGGATCTGTGGTGGTGGGAAATGGGAACTGGTGGAGGGATGGATATTTGATCATTGTATAATTGAAATTCAAGCACAAAAATTTGTAAGTCTACAAATGTACCTCATGGTGTTTCACTAACAAAAATTAAAAAAATAACAAAAACAAAAAACTACTGTATTATGAACAACTTTGCAAACCATGGTGTTTAAAGTTAAAAAAATCAAAAGGAGATTCCTGGAAATTAAAGAGAACAAAGACAAGCTATCAGCTCTGAGAACAAGATTAAAAAAAATTAATAATCTAACCTCACATCACAATAGACTACAAAAATAATAAATGAAGGTCAAAATAAATATGAGGAAGGAAATAATTTTTAAAAATAGAGCAGAGGCTGGGGGTTGGAGCGATATAGCACAGCAGGTAGGGCGTTTGCCTTGCGCGCGGTCAACCCAGGTTCGATTCCCAGTAGCCCATATGGCCCCCCGAGCACTTCCAGGAGTAATTCCTGAGTGCGGAGCCAGGAGTAACCCCCCTGTGCACTGGGTGTAACCCAAAAAAAGAAGAAAAAATAGAGCAGAGGCTTGTTCTTCAAGCCAGTTTTCTCCCTTGAACATATAGCTTGATTACTTGCCTATTTCCACTCTGGAGAAGCCTTTGTTCTCTCTTGAACATATACTTCTCCCTTTCTCTCTCCTCACATCTTTCTAAATAAGTTTTAAAAACTTTCCAAAAATTGGGGCTGGAGCAATAGCACAGCGGGTAGGGCGTTTGCCTTGCACGCGGCTGACCCGGGTTCAATTCCCAGCATCCCATATGGTCCTCTGAGCACCGCCAGGAGTGATTTCTGAGTGCATGAGCCAGGAGTAACCCCTGTGCATCGCTGGGTGTGACCCAAAAAGCAAAAAAAAAATTCCAGAAATTGAGCAGAACAAATGATAAATCAAGAAAATGATTCAAGGGCCAGAGTAATAGGACAGTGGGTAAGGCGCTTACTTGCACGCAGCTGATACGGGTTACATCCCCAGCATCCCATATGGTTCCCCAGGCACAGCCATGAATTATTCCTGAGTACAGAGCCTGGAAAACTCCCTGAACACTGCTCGGTGTGACCCCAAATCAAACAAAAACAAAAGAAAGAAATTAAAAAGATCAACATAAACAAGCTATTTTTTTTTCCTTCAGGAGAATAAACGTTGACAAACCCTCATGACGAATAAAAGAAAAAACTAAATCTGATGAGAAATGAGGAGAGAGAAGTTACAACAAATACCTTAGAAATACAAAGATCACAGGAGAAGCATGAACAATTTTATGGACATAAACTAGAAACCTAGAAGAAATGAACAATTTTTGGAAACATAAACCTCCTGAGAATGAATCAGTCTTGGAAGAAAACCTGATCAGATCAATTATTAGTCACTGTCACTGTCCTCCCATTGTTCATCGATTTGCTCGAGCGGGCCCAGTAACATCTCCATTGTGACGCTTGTTACTGTGTTTGGCATATCGAATACGTCATGGGTAGCTTGCCAGGTTTTACCACGCGGGCAAGATACTCTAGGTAGCTTGCCGGGCTCTCTGAGAGGGGCGGAGGAATCGAACCAGGGTCAGCCAGGTCGGTTGCATGTAAGGCAAACACCCTACCCACTGTACTATCGCTCCAACCCATTTGAAATAGCAATTAAAAAATCTTCCCCCAAACAAAAATCTATGCCTATATGAGTTTTTGGTGAGTTTCTACCAAACTTTCAAAGACCTATTCTCAACCTTTTTCACAATATCAAAGAAGCAGGAATCCTTCCTAACAGTTTTTAAGAAACCAACATTATACTAATGTTATAAGCAGACAGAGGTATCACTTTGAAATATTATAGACCAATTACCAATTACCATGATAAACGCAGATGCAAAGATCCTCGACAAAATCTTAGCAAACTAAATTCAACACCATGACCAAGTGGAATTCATTCCAAGGAAGCACAGATGGATCAATATATATAAATCAGTTAATGTAATTCATCATATCAACAACATAAATGATTGTATCAGTGATGCAGAAAATGCTTTCAAAAAATTTATTCATGATAAAATAACAGCATTGAGGTAGACCAAACTTGAGGGTGGTGTTTACCCAAGCTTGATGAGTCCTGTGGACAATGGTGGAATGATATTGCCACTTTGGCAGTGACTGCGGTGTAGTGGCATTGTACATCTAAAAGACAAACATTTATACACTTGTAAACTATTGTTACCTTACATTAAAAATGAAACTGATGAATGGCCAAGATTCAAAGAAAAAAATTGCCCTGAAAATTCCCATTATACGAATTTCAATTTGTATATCATTTTACATTTCCTATATTAAAAACACTTCAAACTTATAAGTTTTCTCTTTCTTAGGAATTAATTGGGACATCTTCTGTGGTCTGATATAGTTCCAGCTGGTGCTGGAAGGTCAGAAAGATCTGGTCCATGGCAGTGGCTGGAAGATTGATAGATCTTGTCAGAGCTTACTCTTGGCTGTGCGCAGGAATCACTCCTGGCGGGGCTCAGAAACTATATGGGTGGGGCTGGAGCATTAGCAGAGCGGGTAGGGTATTTGCCTTACATGTGCGCTGACCCGGGTTCGATTCGCAGCATCCCATATGGTCCCCTGATCACCGCCAGGAGTAATTCCTGAGTGCAGAGCCAGGAGTAACCCCTGTGCATCGCTGGGTGTGACCCCCTCAAAAAAAGAGAAACTATATGGGTATCGGGGATTGAACCTGGATCTGTCGCATGCAAGGCAAATGTCCTACCACTGTGTTACTGGCCCAGCTCGGCTGTCTGTGATGTCTCCAGGTGCTTTCTTCCTCCAGTATATTAACCCAGACTTCGAAGGCTGTCAGGATGAAAAGAGAAATAAAAGAGAATAAAAGCACAACTGGGAAATGTTCTCTGGTGGAAGGACAGGCGTTGGAACACTGTTTGACTGGAACCTAATCATGAACAGCTTTGTACGAATCTATCGTAGTGATTCAATAAAGAATTTTTACTTTTCCTTTTTTCTTTTTGGGTCACACCCGGCGATGCTCAGGGGTTACTCCTGGCCTTGCACTCAGGAATTGCTCCTGGTGGTGCTCAAGGGACCATATGGGATGCTGGAAATGGAACCCTGGTCGGCTGCGTACAAGGCAAACGCCCTACCCGCTGTGCTATAGCTCCAACCCCTCAATAAAAATTTTTTTCAAATAGCACAAGCTCCAGTATGTTCTATTTGTTGTTACCTACTGAAAGTAGGATGATTCGGCCAAAGCGAGGAGTACAATCTCTAGATGCTGGTGAACTCACTGTGGCCGCCTCCTCTCCTGGAATCCCGCCCGGAGCTCTGCAGGTCCACAGCCCGGAGAAAGCCTGGAGAAAGCGCAGTCAGAGCACCACGCACAAGGAGGACAAGGAAAGAAAGGGAGAGCTGAGAGGGGATCGCGGAGAGAGGAGCTGCTGGCTCCCACTGTGGTGGGGCGTGAAATTGGAAAGTGGGACGGACCTGGGGCTGGCATGAGAAGCACTCGCCTGACCGATGGGCGAGGCAGAATGCCGTGAGCACCTGAGGTTGGCCGGGTTACCGGGAGATACCCCCCCCACACACACACACATAAAGTAACAAAATAGGAGACTAACTCCCAAGAATAGCTAAGTACCAGGAGGTTTACTCCATGGCTTGGAGGCCAGCTGCACATGCTAGGGGAAAAGGCAGCTCAGGTGGAGAAGGGAGCACCAAGTAAAGAGTGTCTGGAGGATCCTCCCAGGATGGGAGATGCATGCTGAAAGTAGACTATAGACCGAACAGGATTGCCACTCAATGCCTCTTTTGCAAACCACAGCACCCAAAAGGAGAGAGAGAACAAAAGGGAATGCCCTGCCACAGAGGCAGGGTGGGGTGGGGGGGGGGTGGAGGGGGTGGGAGAGATACTGGGATCATTGGTGGTGGAGAATGGGCACTGGTGGAGGGATGGGTACTCGATCATTGTATAACTGAAACCCAAGCACAAAAATTTGTAAGTCTACAACTAGACCTCATGGTGTTTCACTAATAAAAATTTAAAAAAAAAAAAAAAGAAAAGAAAAGATGCCCGCGCCGGGCCCTCCCTGGCCTGCCCCGCCCAGCGTCGCCCTGCCCCGCCCCCGCGGAGCCAGTGGAAGCCGGAAGACCGAGGAGACACTCGGGGAACTCAGCGGCCGGAGGGAGACCCCGCCAGGCCCTGGCCCGCAGCAGGATGGGGGTCGTGCCCCTGCCCGCGCTGCTGCTCCTGCTGCTGAGCGGCCTGGCCCCCGGTGGCGCCGCCCTGCGCCTGCTGGTCCCCCCGGAGCCCGTGTGCGCTCAGCAGGTGAGACTGCCCCGCCCGGCACTCGGGGGTCGGTCCGGGAAGGACCTGGCGGGACCCGGGAAGAGGAGTCGGAGTTTTGGGGGGAAGATCGGACTGACTGCGTGGCACAACCCGGGCAGTCAGTCACTGCGCGCACGCGAGGCGGGAGGGAGAGGCGGCCCCGGGCCTTCCGGGAGCCTGGACGGGACCCGGCGGCCTCCAGGCGGCCCCCCGCGGGGAGGGAGGCCGAGCTGGACGCTCTCTGGTCTGCAGTCCTACCGGCGGGGCCCGTGCGGAACGTGGGGGCCACGGCGGACCGCACCTTGGACCCTCCCGTCCAGAGCTAGGCGGCCTCTGGAGTGAGAGCCCGGACGGAAGCCGTGGCCCGGAGCCCTCTAAGGGACTGTCGGCTCGGCGGCACCTCCCCTGGGCATGGGACGGTGATTAAGTCTCTGCCCTTTCCGCCCCGTCCTGTCCGGGCACACGTATGCCAGCGGGGTTGGGACGGAGACCTATTTGCTGCTGCCCCTCCAGGCCTGGCCTTAGAGGGTACTGGCCAGCAGCACGCAGGTCCCAGTGGGCTGTGCCCCTCTACTCCGCTTTCTCTGCAGTGCCCTTGGCCTCTCACCCTCACCGCTCACTAGCCTTAAACTTAAGAGCAATCCCTGAGCTGGAACACATGAAACCAGGTTCTTTGTGAACAAACTTTATGGAGGAGGGTCGAGGGTGAGTGACTATTTAGTGGAGGGTTTTTGTTTGGTTGGTGTTTTGGGGTTTTTTGTTTTGTTTTGTTTTTTGCTTTTTGGGTTACACCTTGCGATGCTCAGGGGATACTCCTGGCTCTGCGCTCAGGAATTACACCTGGCAGTGCTCAGGGGACCATGTGGGATGCTGAGAATTGAACCCGGGTGGGCCGCGTGAAAGGCAAACGCCCTACCCGCTGTGCTATTGCTCCAGCCCCAGGGTGTTGTTGGTTTTTAATGTCACTGATGTTGGGAAGTGTGATTCCTGAGGTTGAGCACAGCAGATGTTTGGTGTATTTGGTATTCTGACACTGGGCATTCTGTGTTCAGTTTTTGATGGCTGTTTGCTGAGTTCCTGTCAGCCACAGTGCAGCCCAGCCTGCTGCGGGTGTCCCTTGCCAACAGAACCCAGGGGGGTCTCCCGGGGAAGTGCCAGCTGGGGTGTACTTCATGGAAGAGAAGATAACTTGGGGCTTCCAAGATTGAGTTTGGTGGAGATTTCAGGTCGAGGAAAGGGCCAGAACCAAGGCCCTTGGAAGGGAGATAAAGTGAAGGAAACTAGTGAGAGAAGCTTCAAAGGGAGACTTTACTGAGGTGAGACAGGAATCGCCCAGCTCCCCTGCACCTGTTCGGTGGGTCCTGAGAAGGTGGAAGAAAAGCTTGCCGGGCGGATTTGTTCCTAACTCATTATGGCCTCATCCTCACCTTTATCTTCACCTGCACTCGGATTACTCCTGGCAGGTTTGGGGAACCATATGGGACCCCAGGGGTTGAACCCGGGGGAGGCATGCAAGGCAAGTGCCCTATCTGCTGTGCTATTGCTCTGTCCTCCCCTGAGAGTTTTGAAGACACGAAGCCAAAGAGTCTAAGAACTAAGACACTTGCCTCACATGCAGCCAAACCTGGTTACCTGCTCTCCAACATCTCTTTTGTTTGTTTGTTTTGGGGTCACACCTGGGGGTGTTCATGAGTTACTCCTGGCTCTGAACTCCGGAATCACACCTGGCCGGCTCGGGGATCATATGGGATGCTGGGGATCGAACCCCGGGTGGCCAAGTACAAGGCAGGTATCTCATATGGTCCCTGAGCACAGCCAGGAATGGCCCCTTGTTACAGAGAAGGGATCACACCCTGAGCACCTCTGGGTGTGGCCTCCAAAACAAAACAAAACAAAAGAATGTTGAATACATTGTTTCTAATCCTTCTAGGGACTAGAAGGCACTACTGTTCTGGGCTTGGTCAGGGCTTGTTCCATCATTGTTTTATGACTTGCTGCCAAGGAAGGACCTGGAGCGTCATACATGTGAGGCATGAACTCTTCCACTGGGCCCCAGCCCAACATTCTCATTCTTGTCTCTTTGTATGGTACCTAATTTTTTCCCTCTTAAAGATTATGGTTTTGGGGCTGGGGCGAAAGCACAGCGGAGTCCTCCAGGCCCTCGGCCCCGGCCCGCAGCACGATGGGGGTCGTGCCCGTACCCCGGCTGCTGCTCCTGCTGCTGAGCGGCCTGGCCCCGGGTGGCGCCGCCCTGCACCTGCTGGTCCCCCTGGAGCCCGTGTGCGAGTTTCCTTGCATGCAGCCGACCCATATTCGACCCATGTTTGATTCCCAGCATCCCATAAGGTCCCCCGAGCACCACCAGGAGTAATTCCTGAGTGCATGAGCCAGGAATAACCCCTGTGCATTGCCGGGTGTGACCCAAAAAGCAAAAAAAGAGAAAGAAAAATGACATGTGTTGGGGGGGGGGGGGGCTTGGGGTCACTTCAGGCGGTGCTTGAAGGCAGGGGATGCCAGTGTGGAACCAGAGTTGGGCAAGTGCAGTCACGCCCTTTAACCCCTGTACTATCTCCCAATCCTCCTCTAGAAAGATTTAGGAGCCTCTTTTTATTTCTGGTAAAGGTATTTTAAATTTCATAACAAAGTACTTCAGCTCTAGAGCGTCATTTCCCACCCCCCCTCCATCCCTATTTGCAAGTTCTCTTGTGTTCTGTTGGGGGCTGGAGCGATAGCACAGTGGTTAGCGTGTTTGCCTTGCACGCGGCCCACCAGACCAACCCAAGTTTGATTCCTCCGCTCCTTCTGGAGAGCCCAGCAAGCTACCAAGAGTATTTTGCCCTCACGGCAAAACCTGGCAAGCTACCTGTGGAGGACAGTGACAGTTGTGTTCTGTTTTGTTTGAGTGTGTCCAGTTGGTGCTGGGTATCAGGGAGCCCAAGCCAAGCTACATTTCAACCCACTTCCCTCAGACTACTCTTTGTTTTCTCTATAATCTTCTGGAAGTCAAGTTTGCATTTAATTCTCTAATAGTCATGTTATCTCTCCTATTTCTATTTTATTCTGCTTTCAGAGATGTTTCCTGAATCGTACAGCCCAGTCTTTCAATGGTTTTTTTTTCTTCAAGGTTTATTTTTTTTCGTTCTCTGCCTGTTTATTTTCTCATGTCACTGTCACTGTCACTGTCCTCCCATTGTTCATCAATTTGCTCGAGCAGGCCCAGTAACGTCTCCATTGTGAGACTTGTTTCTGTGTTTGGCATATCGAATACGTAATGGCTTTGCCAGACGCCTGAGATACTCTCAGTAGCTTGCTGGGCTCTTCGAGAGGGGCGGAGAAATCGAAGCCGGGTTGGCCGAGTCAACCACATGCAAGGCAAACGCCCTACCCACTCCACCCGGCAGTGCTCAGGGCTTACTCCTGGCTCTGTTCTCAGGGATCACTGCTGGTGGGCTCAGAGGACCATATGGGAGGCTGGGGAGTGAACCTGGGATGGCTGCATGCAAAGCAAACCCCCTAACTGCTGAACTCTCACTCCAGCCATATATATATATATATATATATATATATATATATATATATATAAAGGTAAAGGCCCTCCCGTTGTTCATCGATTTGCTCGAGCGGGCCCAGTAACGTCTCCATTGGAGATTTTGTTGTTACTGTGTTTGGCATATTGAATACATCACGGGTGGCTTGCCAGGCTCTGCCGTGCGGGCGAGATCCTCTCGGTAGCTTGCCGGGCTCTCCGAGAGGGGTGGAGGAATCGAACTTGGGTCGGCCATGTTGGCTGCGTGCAAGGCAAACGCCCTACCGCTGTGCTATCGCTCCAGCCCTATATATAGTAAAGTAAAGTAAGTAAAGGCCCTCCTGTTGATCATCGATTTACTCGAGTGGGCCCAGTAACGTCTCCATTGGAGACTTTGTTGTTACTGTGTCTGGCATATCGAATACTCTCGGTAGCTTGCCAGGCTCTCCGAGAGGGGCGGAGGAATCGAACTCGGGTCGGCCATGTTGGCCGCTTGTAAGGCGAACACCCTACCGCTGTGCTATCGCTCCAGTCCCATATATATATATATATATATATACATATATATGTATATATATGTATATATCCTATATCTCCTTGACATATGTTTGCAGTATCTTTTCTTATCTCTTTGAAACTATTATAATATACAATTTAATTATGTACTGCACTGTAGCACTGTCCTCCCATTGTTCATCGATTTGCTCAAGCGGGCCCAGTAATGTCTCCGTTGTGAGACTTATTACTGTGTTTGGCATATTTGTGAGACTTATTACTGTGTTTGGCATATCGAATACGTCACGGGTAGCTTGCTGTAGCTTGCTGGGCTCTCCGAGAGGGGCAGAGGAATTGAACTCAGGTCAGCCAGGTTGGCCACGTGCAAGACAAACACCCTACCTCTGTGTTATGGCTCCAGCCCAATTTAATTATATATACATATACATAATTATACTATACAATTTAATTGTATTTCTGTTCCCAACATTATCTTATTTTCTCAAGAACTTTATAAAAATTGTTGCTTTATCTTTATTCCTTGGGGTCAGCAGGGTTGTACCTGCTGCTGCCAGGAAGGCCACTGGTGCTGGGGGTGAAGTCGAGTTCTCCAGGCATGTGTGTTGCTGCTGCCTTCCTGACCCTCACGTATGTTGTCCATTCATATTCCTTCTTTGTGCATGAGCATTTATAAAAAGCTTATCTTTCCTACACAGTGAACACAGTATGAGCTCTCATGGAATTCTCTGTTTTCTAGTTCTACTTACATGCATATTTTCTGTTGTGTCTAAAAACGTTTCCCTTATCTTTCCTCTCTTTGTCATCTCTGCTTCTGGGCTTTCACCTTGTTAAGTGCAGTGCTCACACAGCAAGGTCCAAACGCGTGAGGAAGAACTTTTTCCTCACTTCCTTAGAAAATTGAGTGACATGATCAAATGTTTCTAGCAGTTTCTTTTTCTCACCCATCAACACATCTTGG